GAGAGAGAGAGAGAGAGAGAGAGAGAGAGAGAGAGAGAGAGAGAGAGAGAGAGAGAGAGAGAGAGAGAGAGATTCAGAGAGAGAATTCTATAGTTAACATAGTAATCATTATTATTAGGGTTCAGTTTGGTTTTTGGTTTTATTTTTGGTTAATTATAGCTTCTGCGTGTGTATTGTATGAAGTAATCACTACGTTCACGGTTCTAGTCACACCTCGTATTTGGTTATAACTCCGTTAGGTTTAACCGGGACTCTCCACCTCACTTCTGCTGCTGTAGAGTTGATGAAGCCAAACACCGGTGGGATGGGGTCAGAGGGCATCGTCTCTGCCGTCTGTATTCTCTGATATTGACCCTTCCCACACCTAAACCAAGAAAAAACCTTTAGAAACCTTGCTGCTATGAAGTGCTACACCATGCATGCTACGTTTGCTGTATCACTACCATTCACACAACTCTCTCCGTTACGTTAGCTTCTCTCCAAAATCTTTCCATCACTGCTATTATTTTGTTAATTTTTTATCTTAGCACGAAAATTTTTCTCTAAACTCAATATATCACATATAATAGACACAAATACACATCGAATGACCCTCGCGTACAAAACTCGCTCGCTCGCATACCCGACGGCGGTGCAAGCCTCGAGCTGCACGTCGTAGAACATGTGCGGCTGTAAGCGTCTGTACTCGAACAGCTGACTCGATCCCTGGTAGATCGGCGTCGCGATCTCGCGATCGTAGATCCGGTACTCTGTCACGACCCCGTTCGGCCGGCCCGGCAGCGCCCATCGCAAGATGGCTGCCTCTCCCGTGTCGACGGGCTCCACGCGGAATCCCCTGACGTCCGCCGGCGCTGCCTGCAGCGTGCGAGTCTCCACCCACTCGCTCGGCGTTGCTCCCGCATGGTTTATCGCCACGATGCGCACCGCGTACGTCACGAACGGCATCAGCCCCGAGAATTGCGCGCTGTGGGTTCTGGCATCGACCGACACCTGCTCGGTGGGGCTGGGGAACCGCGTCGGGTCGTCCCAGCGCGCCTGGTAGTCGACGCGGTAACGCTCGATGACGCCGTTTGTTTTCTTCGGCGGTCGCCACGACGCGCGGATCGAGTACGCGCTGAGAGCGTAGAGCCGCGGCGCGCTCTGAGAGGTAGGGGGCGCCGCGAGCATGCGCACGAGCACCCAGGGGCTGCTCGTCTGTCCCTTGGAGTTGATGGCGATGATGCGATACTCGTACTCGTAGTAGGGTTCAAGGTCGGGGCCGGAGTTGACGAAAGAGAGGTCGCGCAGGTTGCCGGGGACGATGTTGACGAGTAGCTCGGCCGTCTGCTCATAGCGCCGTCGCACGACACGATACTCCCTGATCGCTCCATTAGGACTGATCTGACAATGTCAAAAAAGCATGTTTAAACCATAATTTCAATATTTATTAATTATATTCATTATTAATTTAATTCATTAATATAATCATATAACTAATATCATTATCGATTAATTTAATTCATCATTCCATTATATTTAATATACCGGTTCCTCCCAGGCATTAATTTATTAATAGAATTACACAACCAATAAGTAGTATCGATCAAATAAATTCATCATATAATTATAATTAATATACCGGTTCTTTCCAGGCTACGTCGACGGTGTTTGGACCCTTGGCGACAACGACGGGAGCTTGCATTCCCTCCGGCACGTCTTCCAGCGTTCTCACAACCACTCCAGGTCCCACGCCGCAGCTGTTAACTACTCCCCGCAGACACGCTCGTATACGCATGTTGTACCTACGAAACAATGACAACGACATGATCTTGTCTCCAAACCATTGGTCCACAGTTGATAACCTGCACAACTCCTGCGCGCTAACCAAGCAAGACACGGGTAAGCTCACGAAATAATGGAGACGTGTGTGATCTTGTCTACAAACAATTCTTCTACGGTGGATTCAATCGAAGTTTACATCCAAGTTATGGTCTTTAGTGGTGTCTATACTGTGCCATCAAAAATTACTCTGGCTGTAGCGTAAATGCTAGAATGAATCCACATAATCTCAGTTGATGTGAAAGAGATCTTTCACTGATATAAAGAGCCCATTAACATTAACGTAGTTCACATTAAAGTTGATGATATTTAATATATCAGTATTAGATTAATACATGTGTGGTATATTACTACAACTGTGTATATCAGATGGTTGGACTATGCAAACCTACTCAGTGTAAGGCTGCAGGCCACGTAGGGTTGCCTGCCCTGTCTTCGGCACTCTGATGCTCCTGCTGTCCTCTTGTCCTGAATCAAGCATCACCTGATACTGGTCCAGGTTGGGTTCATCTGCAATGTAGAATATATGGAATAGAACGTGTTCACATCTTCTATAACTAGGTACATACATGTGGATAAACAAACTATAAGTTGCAAAATAACTATTGATACAAAATATCGTAGACGTTGGTTAACCCAACTTCTAATAATTTACTATTTTACTTCTAATTAGAATGATATTAGTCAAACATTCCCAGTCATTACCGATAATTTACTGCTGCCTAGAAGTTGTTATTGGTTAATGTGCATAAATCTATGAAGATAAAGAAGTTAAGAACATTTAGAAAAATGTTTCATTGTTTATTGTTCACTGATCACTGTCATATACCGTACATGTCTATAGAAATTGAAAAGAAAAGAAAAACTAGAAACACTAGAAGCAATACGAAACTGAAGTTTTTGTAAACATTGATGTATGTGAGAACTTACTCAAAACAGAGATGTAACAGAGATTTGTAAACAGTGATGTATGTGAGAACTTACTCAAAACAGAGATGTAACAGAGATTTGTAAACAGTGATGTATGTAAGAACTTACTCAAAACAGAGACGTAACAGAGATTTGTAAACAGTGATGTATGTAAGAACTTACTCAAAACAGAGACGTAACAGAGATTTGTAAACAGTGATGTATGTAAGAACTTACTCAAAACAGAGACGTAACAGAGATTTGTAAACAGTGATGTATGTACACTCCGACCTCCTTTATCCGGCCACGT